CAGGGAAACAATAAAACATATTATGGATAGGAAAGGTTATATGCTTCAGCAAACGAAAAGGTTTTTAGGTTGATATTGAAATTTGAGACTGAGATTGACTGACAAATAGCAGTGGGGGGGGGGAGGGCCAAAGTCAGGGAGCTAAATGGGAAAATATGGGGTCACCATAGCCCTGGGGTTTGGAGGGGGGGTGAGGAGGAAGCCAGAAACGGATGAATATCTATCTGACTCTGCAGTTTCTGTCCAGTGATATGAGTGCTATATCACTGATTCAACACTATTGTGCCTCTTAGATTACAATGGTCCTCATCTTTCTCTTTTATGGTTTGGCACTTGAGGCAAAAAGGTAGAAGATGGATGAAGCCCTATGACGCTGGTGATTGATTAATCACCATTAATCTGGCTGATTGCTCTGTTTCCTTGTTTATCCTTTTTTATCCAATGGCAGCATAATGTCGGAAAAAGGAATCTGTCTCTGCTCTACTAACATCTGCCAAATTAGTTGTAGAGGCAGTAAAGCTGTAGCTTCCAGAAAGGTCTGATGCCTGCCCAGGAATCAGGAACTAGAAGTAAAGATCTCAGTGTGCCAACCAGGGTTCTCACTTTTTCTGTCAAAGGAGTTTTATAATACCGATTGTGCCAGTGATAACGTTTCCAGTGGGGGAATATGCAGTGATGTCTTTAAAATTTTTTTACAGTAGGTAAGAAAAACTCATGTAACTGCCTCTGAGATGTACTTCATCAAAGCTTGAGATCAGTATGAAATTCTTTCTTATTCAGGGATCTGCTTAGAACAAGGATCATGCAAACAGAGGACATGAAAATAAAAGAAATAAAAGGGGTTTTATTCAACATGGCGGCATATTACTTGATTTCCATGATCATTGAGGGTTTCAGTTAACTAATAGAAAATGTACAGCATAACAAGGAACTTGCTGGAAAAGCATTCTAAACACTGAAGAAAATTGTCCTCACCAAAAGGCAAAAAATACATAGGCAAAATGTTATTTGTATGATTTCATATTTTATTTTCAAGTCAACTGGGATTCATATTCTCATCCAGCTTCAGTATTCACTTCAGCAGAGCCAATGCAAGCTTTTATTCTTGACTAATGCTGACCGTAGACTTCAAACGACATCTGGACAAAACTAAATTGAACATGTCACTGAGAACAATCGGTCTCATCTTTAAAATGACGCAGGGACATTGTTCATTCTGTATCACCCAACAACCCAAGAGGCCACAGAATGTTTTCGATGCAGCAGACCCACATACAGAGTGCAAATAATCGTATTGTGGCGAGTGAATGAGTCATTTTGATGAAGGAGATGACAGCTCTTTTAAAATATGTTACTCTCTTTATTAACAGCCTCTATTGGTTTAATACTAGCAGCGGCAATGACTGGGAAGCCAGCATTTAATAGGACACTCACAGTTACACGCAAATGAAACACACCCATTCCATGGCAAAAAAAATCCATGGTTACATTTACTATTAACAGAAATACTACAATGCATGTATTAATTTACAATATTTAAAGTGCAGTGTGGTGCAAAGCATGCTGGTAACTGCATAATTAGTCCTGCTGACCAACCCTGCAGCATCACATATATCTCAGCCAATCGCATGCAGTGGGTGGGATCAGAACAAAGAAAAAGTTTGCTTTGGGGCCCATGTACAGGTGGTGTGATCGCCACAGTGATTATGTGTCATACAACGTCAATCCCGTCAATTTCCTCTGAAGTATGTGAGCAGTGTTACATTCGGTGAAGGCTCTTTGTGGCCCCCACAGACATTAACAGCCTGGCTGTGTCAGGAACAGGGCTGTCATGAGAAGGGACCAAAACATATATGGAGGCAGTGAATCCCGCTGTTACGTGACTGCCTCAGGTAAAAATTTATTTCTGCTATACTGTATGTATGCAAAAAAAAAGGACGACAGGAAGCCCTAATGCATTCCGAGTTGCGTAACGCTCCAAGTCACGATCCTTGGCCTGCTTTACATAGGGGTGACTTTTCCCTGCAGACAAGCACTCTGATCAACACAGAGTTGATCATCCTTTATAACCGCGGTCTTAAAAATAACCTTGCGACGCAGAGACAGGTAACGGCCAGCAGTCAGTGGCAGTTTGCCCATCACCGGTCTAATAGCTGTGTTTTCTGGCATGGGTTTCATTCCTCGAATTTCCACAGAATGCCGCTGTTGTAATTGGCAGCCCGAGATCAAAGGCGCTCAGAATTAAAATTCTCTTTCATCTCTGCCTTCTCTGGGCTAAAGCAGGTCAGAGGCACTGGAGTCCAAAGCTGAAGATCTTCTCATGGCGTAAGACGTCTCAGAGGTAATGAGGACAATGGGGAGATAAATGTGTGTTTAGCCATCTGAGACCCAGCCTAGCTAAACCCCTGATACCATGCATAACAACAGATATATGAATAACATGCATAACAGATATAAAACACGTGTACGCAACACAGTCATACTAATACCACAATTATACTAACAATTATATTAACACCATTGGAATTTAAAGAGAAAATGATTAGAGTAGATGCATTTTCTTGTTTCCTTTCCTGACTAATTACTTTTTAAAGATATACTTCCATAATATTAATAGCATTTCTGTGAATTCTAATTCAATTGCCCCCATTAAGCATCTACCACACAGAAGCTCAGCATATGTAATTAGCGATTCAAGGGGCTGCCTTTCAGTGATTAAAGGCAGCAGATGTGGTGCATTTGAAGAGAAAGTGACACCAGTGCAGACCACTTACTTCAGACCTGAGCCAGTGCTCACAGTAGAATTCATCCTAAAAGACTGCTTGTTTATGGACACTCTAATTTCTTGACCCAATATAAGAATCATCTGTATCTAAGAGCCATACTGTGTCAGAAATCATCAGCGTTAGTGGGCAGCACCACGGTGGATTGTGTGTGGATGGCGCCAGACATTTGTACTCCGGGAAACTCAGAGAATCTTAGCAAGAGACCAAGAAGTCAAGAGTGTCAACAAACACCCACATGAGCAGCAGGGTGTAATTACTGCGGCTGTCACAAGGAGTGGGTTCACAGAAAAGGGTTTTCACTGAGGTCGGCTTATTGGGAGAAGACAAAGATCTGACTAAGGCTTGAAATGTAGCTGTTTTCACCAGTAAAGGCTGATTTACAGGTCTGTGTCGAGCCTACCCAGAGTTACGTCATGGCCTGCGCCACTGGGAGCCTTTATACTGCTACGCGGGTGTGTCGGGTGTGTCTGTGTCCCCCTGCACTTGCAATGCCAAAATGCTAGTTGGCTGAGTGTCGTGATTTTAAGTTTAGCTAAAACATTTGAACTGTGTTATAGGAAATGAAACTTTACATAAGATTGATATAGAGAGATAGATCAACTTCTGTGGTAAGAGTGATGCTCTCCCCTGGGAACCAGGCACTGCCACAGGGAGAACTAGGGTCTCCGGAAAGTGAACGAAGACCGATAAGCTAAACAGAAGCACTAGAGCAAGAAAGTGTGAGAAATCAACCCAAGCAAAATGTATAGATGGAGTGTGAACCCTAAGGGCTAGAACCAGTGGATTACAAATCAGTCTTTTGCAGTGTAAAGCTTATCTATTCCTATATTTCGTGTGTAAAGATCAAAGACCTTAGAATTACAGAACTGTTCAGAGTCTCTTCAAAAATTCATTGGTTACTGTATAATAAATGTGTCTGTACTTAAATTTGTCAGTAATTTAACCACAGTTTTATAGCATTTGTGAATCTGCAATGTACTGATACTATCTAGTGTGAATACTGTGCCTTTATTGTCCATAATTCAGGCAACACGATGCAGCTACATCCAGAACATGTCAGCACAAGTACATGTCAGCTGTGGCAATGATGCATGTGTCATATTCAGAGTTGGGTAATTCATCTCCAGAGAGTAAAAATCCAGACCGGGATTTTGATTCAACCAACCAGTTGAATACTCTGTGACTGTCACTGTTTATACTCAACTATTTGGTTGATACAAAATCTTGGTCGTATTGGGATAACCACAGAAGTGGAGCCAATAAGCATATATAGATGGTTCTAGTTATTGAGCCACTGCAGAGACATGGCGTGCAAAGGAAATGCAAAATGAATCATTCAACAAGGATTGAAGGTTGGGGTGGGTGGGAGAGGAGGATCCACAAAGTCATCTGTCTTTTACTCTCTGGACCTAAATTACCCAACTCTGGTCATAGTCATATGCATCACTGAACTTCTCAAAAAGTATCATGTGTAAGTCTATGTCAGAAGTTTACCACTGAGAACTTCTTGAGTTGTCTTTGCCTATTAGTGTAAATTAGGGGGTCCCAACTGTCGTGATCGCCGGCGGTGAAGCACGAGAATCAAGCCGGTGAGATGGGCAAACGGGGTTTATTTCACAGGACTGACGGCGACTAAACATTACAACAATACAATGACGGATCTGGGGAAGACAGACTGAGACTCTGACTAAATACAAAAGACCAGCTAGACATAACAGGACACAGGTGATCACAATCAGGGCTGAACACGAGGTAACGAGGTGGACGTGGCACACATCAGGAGCGGACGGAGTGGGGCGTGACACCAACCTCCTAATGACTGCGGACTGGCTTACATTGTGTAAACATTTCCCTGGGGGGGATGTGAGATGTTCCATTGAATTCACAATAGCATCAATGTATGGAGAGGCAAAGAGGTATAGAAAGATGCTAATGTCTTCATTTTTTTTCGTTTTGTATGACCCAAACAATTATAGATAAAATGAGTTTGTTTGATTTTATCTTTTGGTTTCATTTTAATAAGATACTTAAATGGTAACTAATTATGGAATCTTGAGGAGCTTCAGCGATAATTATAGTTTGTTTTCACTGCAGAGCTAAGGGTTCATGTTTTGAAATTATCAAATTAAATTAAATTTACATTGTGTATCTTAATATTGACAGCTGTCTGTCAGCTGATTGAGTTTCTTCCATTGTGATTCTTGTCATTTCCAGGGCGAGGCTTTTCAAAGGAAAGAAAGTACAGGGAGAGTATGACATCACAGTGGAACAGGTAACCCTCTACCTGCCTTGTACATCAAGTAGACCCTTATACTTAGTACAAATCAGAAAATGCTGGTCTCCTTGCTAACACATTCTTTAAGCACCTTAAAATGTGAGCCAATTTTCGTCCTTGAAAAAAGAACGTCATCTCACATTCAGCACAACATTATGCATGGCCTGGAAAAAGGTCTGCAGATATTATTCACACATACATTTTTGTATTCATATCTTTGTGGGGACCATTCCTTCATTTCTATGGGAAAAACGCTAATCCCAACAATGACAACCTTAACCCCTACCCAGTCCTAACCTTGACGATAAGTAACCAAACAAAATACGATACTTTTGACGTTTTTAGTTATTTGATTGCAGTCACAGATTTTTATAAAATTGAGCTTCCCCTTGTGGGGACCAAAAAACTGGTCCCAACAACATCAAAATAACAAGGTTGAATCACACTGCGGACACCCACCCACACACACACACACACTTTCACTAATGCACAAAGCTTCTTCGTATAGCTCTCATATAAAGCACGCTGCTTCAGACATATCTCAAGTTCAAACCACTGTAAGGAATCTATGATCAATCCATAATGATCAACAACATGTTAGAAGTTCATGTCATCTGGAATGTCAACCGCATGAACCCCACAAACATGTTAATGAAAAGAGAATCCTAAAAATAACTGCCTCAATGAAACATTATTATTAGGTGTCGACAAGTCAGTGTTGACTCTGGGAGACCATGTAGACACCAATAACTAAAGGTAAAAATACCCAGACATGGCTGGGCTGCACATGTCATCCATGCTGATCTGTTCTCTCTTTACACTTAATTCCCAAACCCTCCAGGCTGAATTCTCCGAGATCAGCCTTGTGTCACACGCCGATGGAAACTGCAATGTGCATGTGCAGGTGCTCCAGAATGGGACCAAGGCAGTCAGGTATGACACACACTGGGTGGAGGGTGGAGCCAGTCTTCCGCAGCTGCTGGGGACACTATAATTGGGGCACATGCAGATGGCAGACTTTCCAGAATGCCAAATTAGGAGCGACAGATGGGATTTTCTAGCTTTCTTCTCATGGCATGAAGCACTCAGGTGTGGACTTACCAAAAGGGGAGGATAGGCAGCTGTCTGAAAGCTAGGGTCCCCATGAAGACAGATTTACCAGAAGTTACATTTATGGATATCAGATAATACGATCATTTAAATTATAGCAACATGTTTATTATTTACATGTTTAACACCAGTTTTTCCAGGATAGGAAAAGTTGCCCCATCCCCCCCCCCCCCCCCCCCCCCCCCCCCCAATCCGGGCTATAATGGACTATTCCTTATTTAAGACTTCAGGCTAACCAGCTTTCTTTGCATACTGGAGTAGTGATAGGCTATCGGTTATTTCACTGTTCACCAAGTGAATCGGCATGAAGAAGCCTAACAGAAGAAGAAAATGGCACAAACATACAACCCTAACATTACATACAGTATGTCTTATGTACTGTAGACAAATCATGAACGCATGCAAAAATTCAGCCCTAACTTAGGCTATACTAGGCTACAGCCTAGGCCCACGGCAAAAGGGGAAACAGTTAAACTTCTTAAATTTGGCTGATCGATCTGCCGACATAATACCCCCCTCCCTCCAATTGGAAAGTTCTACTGACAGCACTCCCACCCAAACCCACATCGGTAAGTTTTACCTCTGGCACCTTGTGCTGTGATTAGCATATTGATGTTCCATCGCTTTTAATTCATTCTTTTTTCCGTCGGCTCCAAAAAATATCTCTCAAACGGCCCACTTAAGGGCCCCCCTACCCACGTCAGCCTAGAGCCCCCAGAGAAGTTAGTCTGCCCCTGAAAGCACAAGCCATGCTGTTGCTGTCTACAATCTGAGAGGTCAGTGCTGACTAAGCGAATGGACACCTACTACTTCCTGTCTCATATGCGACAATATGGCTTACATGGTTTGGTCTGGAGACCAAGGTGGAAACTACCAGAGAGTTATTTATCTGAGCTGGGAGCTGAGTTTCTCGTCCTGGTGGATAATCAGCACTGGGTGATCGTGGCTTGTAACTTGTGTGCAATGGTCACTGAGGGGTCCCAAACCTACTCTCGACTGACTCCCTGTCCTTTGACGGCATACTCACCTGTAACTTGACCAACCCGGCCCAGTCCCCCCTCCCCCAAAAATCTTTTTACTAAGGTTAATAATACGAGATCACAAGCACTAGGAACCACAGAAGTGGAGCCAATAAGCATATATAGATGGTTCTAGTTATTGAGCCACTGCAGAGACATGGCGTGCAAAGGAAATGCAAAATGAATCATTCAACAACGATTGAAGGTTGGGGTGGGTGGGAGAGGAGGATCCACAAAGCCATCTGTAATTACCATCATTACAGAGTTTGTACAAGGAAAAATCAATACATTGTTCTTCACGCAGGCCACACTTGCAAAATTTTGACCCCATAGACTTCAGTGCTATTGGGGTTTAATTTCATGAACTGTTGTACCATTAAAATGCATGCTTATAGTTAAATTAAGTGCAGGGTTAAGCTTGTGGTTAAGACACAGACTGCATATACCGTGTGTGCATATACCCTGTGTAAGGTTAAGACGTTCTTGTGTGTGATCTGAACTCGAGTACTTGATGTAAACTGTTGCTGTGGAGAACTCAGACACTAGAAAGTTAATAAAATGAAAACCGACATCTAACATCACCATTCCTTTACCTCCAAACCATAAAATTCCCTGGCACTGAATTTCCCACATTTCCACTTTTGAGTGTTTACTAATAATTTGACCATCTTCATCGTGATCATCTTTCTATAAGAGATTTTTTCTGTTTTTACAGAAACTGTGTTTGTTTCACATTCATTGAGTTTTTATGGGAGATCCAAATTTTATTTACTAACATGGACTAAATGTTTCTTCCAAGGTCCTTTAAGCCCGATTTTGTCCTGATCCGGCAGCATGCTTTCAGCATGGCAGAGAATGAGGACTTCCGCAATGTGATAATTGGCCTCCAGTACGCTGGAATTCCGAGCATCAACTCCCTGGAATCTATCTACAACCTCTGCGACAAACCCTGGGCGGTAGGGCCCCGTTGGAAAATCCCAATACGGCATTTAAGCCTGACACTAACAAAATGCTTCAATTCAGGCCCCAAATCTATGTTTATCATGACTACAGTCATTACAGCTGGAGTCTCGGGGTGTAACAACAGTGTCTGCTCCCAGCTTTGGCTGTCGTAGCCTTGGTTATGGGCACAAACTCTCAACTAGACATCATATCGATACATAATTAAAAGGTGTTTCTGTTTTCTGGTTTTTAACATGCGTATATTTTCTTGATCACTGGTGACTCACTCTGTTGTGCTTCCAGTTTGCTCAGCTAATAAGCGCCTACAAAAGCCTTGGGCCAGAGAAATTCCCCCTGATTGAACAGACCTTCTATCCAAACTATAAAGACATGGTAAGAACTCAACATCCGCTGTTCCCATCCTTATATAATACCGTCTGTTCCACTACCTATAATTTTTCACTCAAAAGAGAACCCCACGATTGTGTCTGTCTTCACTGCTGAGGTCTGCAATTCAAACATTCCCATCAGTGTCATTTTACATACTTGACGTCAAGGATAAATGGTTACGTTCCGCTTGTGGACTGATCTTGGAGCTCAATTATACTTAAAACAGCTGTTCTCTCTCTCACGAACTCTGAACTGTTTCTCATAATAGTCTCCATGCTTTAATATGGAAGTTAACGCCACATCCCAATGATTTTCCCGTGCAAGTGATACTGAACGCTCTGTATTGGAAATTCAAATGTACTGATAAGTTATTTGGTAGCATCATAGAGTTTCAATGACAACCAACATGCTGTCAAGAATACTAGTGTTTTTATACAACTGAAATTAATTTTTCTTTTGGAACAAGAAAAAGGAAAATGTAATTGAATACTCTTTTTACTGTTTTATTTTTATACATGAGTATCTATCAACATACATGTTGTCCGAGAACACATAAAAACATACAGAAATCAAATAAACACTTAATGTTAAGTGTTAAATGAACATGGTTAATAGTGCAGATTTTGATGTGCATAAAAGAAACATACACAAATCGTTCAAAACTGGAATAATATATGTATTTCAAAATGGCGACAACCAGTCTAAGATGAAAAAGTCATTTAAACTTAAACTTTGCCCAGCAGTCTAATATTCTAAATTTAACAGCAGCAACTTATTACAATTTTTTAACTCTAAAATTGTAGATTTTGTTTTGTTGCATATACTTTCCACAGAAGGCAAGAGATGGAACCACTTTTTGGTGTAAAACCTTTTTTTTTTTTTTGGTAATTGTTCCTGAGTAGTTTCTTTGGAATTTGCAGTTTGTACTTTGGCCTAACAGGACTTGTGAATGTGGTGAAAGTTACTTTGGTGCCAATCTTTTCTTGTATTTTCCTATATATGCATGTCCCACTTATACAATAATACAATAGGTATACTGTACCAAGGTAAAAATTACAAACAAAAAGATAATAAAAGAAAAGATATTGCTGCCCAACTGTATACTGGGCATTTTGATTTGACACAAAATAGATATGATGTAAAATCTCTCTTAAGCATACTGCTGTCAAATCAGACATACAGTAATGTGAAAAAGTAAGTACACTTCGTCATTTTGAACATATTTGGACAAATATTTAATAATTATTTCAAGACTATTGGCAGATAGATGTGATGTAACTTAAAAACAAATTCTGATTGTGAAATAATTGATTCAACAAAAATCTACAAACAACAAAAATGTTATTTTCTCTGTGGGGGAAAAGTAAGCACATCCTTACATTTAGCACTTGGTTCTGCTTCCTTTGGCAGATTCAATCTCAGTTTCTTATAACTGTCAATTTGTTTTGTTTTTTTTACATTGACCAGGAGAAATTGTTGCCCATTCCTCCATGCATAATTCCTTTACCTGTTTGATGTTGGAGGGGGTTCTTGTACAGCCCTCTTCCAGTCCAGCAACTACATTTTAATACATTTCAGTTTGACTTGGCTATTCCGTATCTCTCCCTTAAGTTGTAGATTTGCTTGTAGCTTTGGGGTAATTATCATGTTAAAGCCACACTTGAGATTCACCTTATAATACTCCTCACACCTCACATTCTCCTCAAGCACTTTTTCGTATAGGGCTCTATTCTCCACCCGCGCAAAGCGCAACGCAAAGTGGCTTAGCTAGTTTCGTACCAGCTCATTTTCACGCCATGCGTGCGTCAACAAAATAATAATTGATTTTGTGTTGGCCGCTTTCCGCTGGCAGGAGTGATGTTTTTTAAATTAGGCATAGCCAGGCATATTGTTGGTCCCTTGCTATTTTAAAGCAGCGCTTTTAACCAACAAAAACCACGTCAAAAGTCAGTGGCGCATTGTTAAACGATATTTAAGCGGTGAGATTCACGACGCTCCCTATGGACACAGATATGTGCTCGAAGTGCACTATGGTTTTTCGCTATTTTATTTCATATACAGTGGTACCTCGGTTCTCGAACTTAATCCGTTCCGGACTCCGGATCGAATCCTAAAAAGTTCGAGTTCTGATCGAATTTTTCCCATAAGAAATAATGGAAAACCCATTAATTGGTTCCTGCCGCCCCCGCCCCCCAAATTACACCTACATATGTTTTTTTTTTTTGTTTTTTTTTAGCATTTTAACACAAAATGAACAGGATAAAACAAGAAGAGCATTTTTTCTTAATGGCTTCCAAAACGATAAAGACCTTATCCCAGCATTACCCCTGTCCTGCAACTTTTTCTGTTTTATTATACTTCTCTATTGTTGAAATGAAAATAATATTATTACTGTTACTATTATTATTATTATTATTATTATTATTAATGGCATAACTTTTTAATAATAATGAAAATAATAATATTTGTCTGTCCAAATATGTTGAAAGAAAATTTTTCATGTGGGTGTACTTACTTTTAACATGACCGTATCTGAAGTCCAGCCTTTAGCTGATATCCCCAGTCACAGAAAAAGAGAATCATAAGAGTCCTACAGGGACAGAAGGTGAGACTGTTCCCCTTCCTGCTGAACGGCACATTTCCTCCATCTACCTACTTCCCTCTTAAGGGTCATTCATGTCCAGGAAGTTCTTCTCCAGGGCCGGGGCTCCCCGGTACCAGCTGCAGGAGCCATCGCTGCGCCTGATGCAGGCTGAGTTGCGGACCTGCTCCCCGGCCAGCTTGTCCTCCAGCAGCCAGTCTGTCCACAGGCATTCTTTCTCCACATTTGCAGTGCATGGTAGGGTATGGCAGGTGGAAATCTGTGCAGAAAGGGAACATGTGTGACAGTGTGTTAGAGGGACACCTGCAGCACCTGGACCTGACAAAATGGTCAATGTTTTCCAAAGGCATTCCATTCTTGAGGCTACCCCCAAAAAAATCCATCAATGGCTTATTATTCAAAGCTTCTATCAAATCAGATCAGTTAAGCAGTAAGAATTGCAGCTCACTTTGCAGGTGCAGCCCATGTGGTATCGGTAATTGAGGTTTTTCTTCTGGGTCATGGTGAGCTGCTTCCATGGTTCCACGAAATCACAGAGCTCAACCACGACCTTCCCATCACTCATGATGTTGGCTGAATGATACAACATTCAAAGGGGGGGGGGGGGCTGTGTCACTGAATGCTCTATTATTTGTGGTGGCATTAGGTCCTTGAAAAGCATCATGCGTGGGGATGCATAAAAAAAATGTTACAATACTACAGTGTTTCCCAATCCAGTCCTCAGGGAAGCCCGGACAGTCCACATTTTTGCTTTCTCTCAGCTCCCAGCGCACCTGTACCAGGTATTCGGTGTTCCTGATTGGCTGGGAGCTGGGAGGGAGCAAAAACGTGGACTGTCCGGGGTTCCCCCGAGGACTGGGTTGGGGAACACCGGAATACTAAATCAAAAGGAGCAGGCTCACCAATTTTGAATGTACATTTAAATATGGAGAGATAAACAGAAGAGCGTTCTTTTTATGTGAGGTCATTGACAAGGGGAATTCATGTGTTTCAAAGAGAGGCTTCTGTCTCACCAAAGATCAGGTACTGGACCTTGCTGCTGGAGTCCAGCTTGATCCCACACAGAGAGGAGAAGAAAGGTGTGTAAAGGTAGCGGATGTCTTGCACCTTTTTGAAGCCTTTGAACACCTGCAGACATTATTACAAACAGTAATTCAGCTGGTAAAAATGTAAAGCTTTATTGCTATGGATGATAAAAGTAACTAGGAACTTATGTATCATATATCAATATAAAATATATACATAATAACCCATATATTTAACATTCAGCTATATATGTAAACCTTAGATAATCAAATAATGTAAAACAGACAGTCCTACGTATCAAAGTGGGACCAGTTTTCACAGAAAATCATATTCAAATGTATGCATATCTTCAAAGTATAAAACACATTAATCCAATTCACCGTATTCCTCAGCTGACCTAGGAAGTTATTTTAGAAATCAGAACTTAATTTCCATGGTACCACGAAGTGGATATAAAAAGATATTTCTTTCCTCTTGTTCTGCAAAATGACAAATGCATTTCTCTATGGTGAGCGAGTCACTCTGAAGGCGACCACACCGCTGGATGACTGTAATTTTCACAATGCCATTGTAATCATCCTGGAGCCTTGACCATTGTGGTCAGCCATGAGGTCATCTTGCCCTCATACCATCAATCAGACGGTCGATTGATATAGGCCATAATAGGGAAAGGGGGAATTTACAGACTCACCAAGATGATCCTAAACAGTGCAAGTGGACGCTTGTGAACTGAATGATTTTTCAATTCATTTTGGACTTCTAAGGGTATTTTAAAATACTTGATATTCGTTTCTCACCTTCATCAGCTTGATCTCATACTGGATCATTTTCAGGTGGGATGATGAGCTGTTGCTAGGGGATATAACCTTCTCCCGAGTGATTTTTGCACGAATAACTGTAAAAACAAAAGGCCTGCATGATTTATAACTGGATAAATCTGTAAGAAAATCAGTGTATAACTCACCTTGGGTTTGAATTAAATAGATGAACAAAACTTTTGTTTTTTTGAGGAAAAATTAAAGGCATAAATCACTGAAAGGACTTAGGCTTTGCAAAGGGGAGCCTGTGTTTTCCTTCTGAAATAATCATCTTTCTCTTGCTGCATTAACAGCAGTGGTCATCCAAGGGGATTATGGCTTAAATCGGTGTTCACCGTAGTGCACAGCTAGCTAGTAGGAGTGAGGTACTGATAGGGTGACATACCTGCTACAGTCTACAGCCAGACTCCTAACTTTGAAAACAGACCTGTTGGGGTGGAGCTATCCACTTGTCATCTCTAATGCGGCAATTTCTCAACCTTTGACACAGTCATTTCATGCTTCAGCAGGAGGTGACGGCCACCAAAGGGGGCAACTATACTCCAATATACCTCTATCCCGATTATGTTAGCAGCTTTCAAATGCTGGCATTCGGGAAATATTTACATCTAAGCCTTTAACCACCACAACCAATTTTCCATCCCCACTGAGACTAATGCTCAAATTATATGCACCCAGCTCAGTGCATCTCATTGTGACACTGACTTTAGCAGATGGGGAACACACATTTATTTTTGCTGCACAAATGATTACAGATACTGCCAATCACCACAATGATATTTTGTCTGGGTTGATTCATTAATATGTAATAGAGTTCCTCATTATTTGGAAATGCTCTGAAAACACCATAGCTGAATTTGACTTTGCAGTTCTGTATTCCTCGAAAGGTAGCCATAGCTCTGAGAAATTAGAAGCACTGGATAGCCATGGCCTAATTAAACTTATCCATGCATTATTAATTTAATCCTTAATCCTTACAGCCTGGTGGGGTTGAGGCCACTCCTGAATGAATTCAATTCTAATCCAAATCAGGAAATGGAACTGGAATTGGAATTTAAATCTCCCTGAAATTCGAATTCAATTCCAATTCTGTTCCCCATAGTTTCTTTCCCAATCCCAGATCCAGTTCCATTTCCTGATTTGGATTGGAATTGATGAATGCATTCTGGAATGATCCCAATCTTGCAAACTGGATGACAAAATGGTCAGTAGGGCTTTTGCTTAAAAATACATTAAAAAATGGAAAGCAATAAAGTGGAGATTTTCACCACATTTTTGTGTATATTTCTGCGTGTATTAATGAACAGCCAGGTTAGCTGTGCAGCCAGCACATTTAAAAAAAAATTCACTCCATTCAATTTTAGATGGATGTGAAAAACAGCAGCGTTTGAGTGTCCCAAGCTGTCTGACTTGCTCTAAAAATTAAGTTATTCAAACTGAGATTAAGATAAACATACAAAGCTAATCATCATATGGATATTTCATGGCAGGCTTTTAAACACAATGGTCAGTATAGTTTATGTTGCGGCATCAAACTCTTGTCAACAATCCCACCTACCTAACTCAGCATCACAGAACTGCTGTTGTGGGTGTGTAGGGTTACAGGTGCAGCCCCTCACCGGTGCCACCCGAACCAGAGCCAGCAGCAGGAACAGCAGCACCGTGCACCCGTGCGCGTGGGCTGCCATGTTGTCCGCCGTCATCCTCAGCACACACGGCCTCCTGCTCGGGGATGGAGTCCCGGGAAGATGGTCCCCGCTCCTCTCAGAAACTCAAAGAAGAGAAGCCCAAAACTTATCCCCTACTCCTGCTCTGGGCCGTTCTCTCTGTTCTCGTTCCTAAGAGGCACAGGCATTGGGAATCTCTCATGCAGAGCCTTTTTTGTTTGAAAGGACCACCCCTTTTCCTGAAAAGGAACCACCCCTTTCAGAATGGCACCACTTCCCACACCCTCCTATACATGCCTCTTTCACATAGCTGGGATGTAATTAAACCATCCAGCACGCAGCCGGCACACTTTAACTTTACAAGTTGAATGAGAACTTACACAAAGGTATTAAAATCATTCCAAATGTGTGAATTTGGTTGCAGTACTGCATTCTTGCACCTTTCCCTTTGATGCTCGGTCATGGTTAGTGGCTAAGGTGAGCGGCTGTGCATCAGCTGACTGACGCCCTTGGGTCACACCTCATGACTGGGCCCTGTAGTCAGGGAATGAATCCTTTTCCAAAGTCAGTATTGGCCGGGATGTGGAAGCGTTGCCCTTGGAGTCATTTGTAAATATATGACTGATGCATTGTTTCTATTTCAGGTCACTATGCCTACTTTTCCTGCTGTTGTAAAAATTGGACATGCTCACTGCGGCATGGGAAAGGTGAGTTACACTACATAAGAGATAAGCCAGGATGTGGTGACTAATGATGTATAGAGGTCTGTGTGTTATCAAGCTTCTATGTGATTATATATTTATTCTATATCTTTTTACAGACTGCCCACTGCTTGTTTTCATTACTGGTACTTGCTTCCCTCTTCTCTCTGTCCATTGTTGCTCTCCTTTTGCACTTTCTCTCATTCTCCCATTCTTCATGCTTCCACTCTTCTTTTTCTTCCTGCCTTTTTGCTGCAGGTGAAGGTGGACAGCAACAGTGGCTTCCAGGACATTACCAGCGTGGTAGCCCTGACACAGACCTATACCACCACGGAGCCCTACATCGACTCCAAGTATGACATCAGGATCCAGAAGATAGGCAGCAATTACAAAGCCTACATGTGCGTGGTCTTTTATTCACTCTCTTCTTAGTCTGGACCGTCTTCAGAGTATTTGTAATTTTGCATTTCAAATGTTTCCTTTAAGTTTATAGGCAATTAAAACCATGAACTTCGGAGTGGGGGGAGCGGGAGTGCCCCACAAAGCAGGATTTCTTGCTTGTCCAGAGAACATTTTGGATTTAAGGTAGTCTGGGCTAAACGTATGTGAACGGACATGAAGTTCATTTAGCCCAGACTACCTTAAATCCAGCATGTTATCCAGCTAAGCAAGAAATCCTGCTTTGTGGAATACCCCCCCCCCCCCCCCTCCACCCCCAGGTGAGTTAAGGCAGAAAACAAAGTAGAACTCACTGAATTTAGGGCGCTGGCTGTGAAAGAATACTGTCATTTAATTACAGTTTGAGTGATTTAGTAGCAATACATGTATGATATAGGGCATATACCTACACACTATATTAGTAATTTGGAATGGGGTTAGTTTATTTATAATTTTATTTATTATGGTTCTAAACAACTTCAGGACAGAAAGATAATAGCAAAAAGTTAAAGACACAGAAGTGTTTCTGTTCTGCTGAAACGTTCCTGCAAGGACATGTTAAACTGCAATCCTGTTCATAACCCTTATATAACAGGATTACTGCTACTTGTCTGGCTGTGAAAGATTTTCATTATGGAAAAAAGTTTAACAGTATAGCTCAGTTTTAACTGGGTTCTGGAAGACTTCATATAAATGTGTTTTCAGTTACCAGTCCCTGTGTGCATGTGGGGTTGTGTGGGTCATGAGACAGTGCGTCCTTGGTGACCAGGATGTTGACATTTTCAGCGGTTTTGCCACATTGACGCCAAAGCAAACATCAGTCAGGGCTTCTTCCGGTGTTATTTTCACAGAGAATGTGAACAGATTGAGCCTTGCTGAGATTTATTGTTGTCTAACTACAAGTCTAGATTCTAAATAAATGTATAAGATTACTTTAATTGCTTTGTTTGTGTGCCAAATCTGCTGTCTGCCTCCATCTGGAAATGGCAGGGCTTACCACTGGTCCACTACTCGCCCACAGGAGGACCTCGATCTCTGGCAGCTGGAAAGCAAACGCCAGCTCTAGCATGGTCCAACAAGTAGCCATGACTGAGAGGTGAGGCACAACCAATGGGTATGAGAGACACGGAATTTATTAAAAATCCACCTTTAAATATAATAGCAGCAGGTCCACTGTTATCATATTTCCCTGCTTACTCTTATAAAGGATTTTATATCCTGGGTTCCTGGGTTGGTATTTCCTTACAGTGGCGGGAAACCTTGTTACTGTATCTCACCTTGCTATGGACAGAGAAGCTGAGGCAATGTAAGGATTGCTCATCACTGTCAATCTGTACGAGTCTAATTCCTAAATTATGCAGTTTGTAAGATAATCCATTCATCTATCTTCCATCCACCTATCCTGATCAAGGGGGGGGGGGTACCTAGGTATGTAGGGTACTTGGAACCTATTCAGTACAAAAAATGAAAATCTAAGCAGGTATAGTTTTCTTATATTTAGACATAATCGTAATTTCATTATTAAACTAACAACACATTAAGATTGATTTCCTTGCATTTAGGCATATTGTTACAACTGTACCTTACCTTATACTGCACTGGCAGATAATTTACAGTTTATCTTAAATTTGAATGGCCATTTTTTGCAGTGTTCCAGGCAGCACAGGGGCACAAGGCTGGGGTTTTGTAACTAAACAGACCTAATTGTTGTATGAAACTGATATAGGGTATCTTTTAGGGTGCTGCAGTAGCCTCACACCTCCAGGGTCGCGGGTTTGATTCTTGCCCTCTGCTGCATGTGTGTGGGATCATACATGTTCTCCCCGTCTTGGCTCTGGCTCTGCCCTTGAATGACAGGCAGTTAGGAAAAATGGTGTCTCTAAATTTCTCACAGATTGTGATTTTGGGGGTGTGCCCCGTGATGCTCTGTGCTTCCTACAATAGGCTACAGACCCCCTTTACCTCATAGAGAATAAGCACTTATGTAAATGGGTGGATGAAATGTAAAAATCAGTTGATGAATGAAGGTACAAATGAAACGTCCCACTTTCAGATAAACAGTCATTGGAAATAAAGTAGCTAACATGTTATTTTTAAAACTGCAATTATATTTTTGATATCACACTAGAATTACATAATTTAAATTTTTTTTTTATATTTTATTTAATTTCATTTCATTATATAAATAAATATATAACATGTTTAAATGGTTTTTCCTGCATTTCCATTTTGGAGTTCCAATATCGGTCCCTCATCCCCTGACAGGTACAAGCTGTGGGTGAATACCTGCTCAGAGATTTTTGGGGGGCTGGATATCTGTGCAGTCAAAGCCATCCATGGCAAAGATGGGAAGGGTTACATCTGTGAGGTAAGCCATTTATGGCAAAGATGGGGAGGGTTACATCTGTGAGGTAAGCCATTGATGGCAAATATGGGAAGGGTTACATCTGTGAGGTAAGCCATATATGGCAAAGATGGGGAGGGTTACATCTGTGAGGTAAGCCATCCATGGCAAAGATGGGAAGGGTTACATCTGTGAGGTAAGCCATTCATGGCAAAGATGGGAAGGGTTACATCTGTGAGGTAAGCCATTCATGGCAAANGAGGTAAGCCATTCATGGCAAAGATGGGAAGGGTTACATCTGTGAGGTAAGCCATTCATGGCAAAGATGGGAAGGGTTACATCTGTGAGGTAAGCACAATCCTGTGTGTTCAGTTAAATGCCTTCATTTCATTTAAGATGAAGAAAGAAAAGAACAGAATAATATAAAAATTTATGGAAATTAATCATCACTCGATGTAATTATGGGAATAATTTATCACTCAGAACACCTGAGGTTTACTTCACTCTGACTTTCCCCGCTTATATATTTTGCCTGGGTGTAACATTTTACCAGGTTTCAGCCTCACAAGGTTGACAGAAGTGTCACTCGTAGTCCTCCTTTGGTCCGTCACCCATCAGCTGAAATAACATGATAAAACGATAAACTCTGAGGCACCAGTATTAATGCTGAGAAAAGTTCCACCACTGACTTCCAAAAGTCTTTCACTAAAGTCATCATTTCATCCTTTAACCACTTATACTGTATTGATAAAGCAGAATGCCAGCCCATAATATGTCACACACACATGCACACACACAGACCTGTACTCATACCTTTGTGGGGACCATCCATTAATTTCTATGAGCAGAACCCTAATCTCAACAATGACAACCTTAACCTCTACCCAACCATAACCTCAATCATAAGTAACCAAACAAAATACAAGTCTTTTGGCATTTTTAGTTTTGCAGTCACAGATTTTTTATAAAATTGAATTTACCCTTGTGGGGACTGAAAAAATGGTCCCCACAATGTCAGATTAACAGGTTTTTTCACACTTTGTGGGGGCATTTGGTTCCCACAATGTAATGTATAGCTGGACCACACACACACACGCAATCATGCTCAATGTAGACATGCAAGTTAGCCTAACAACATGTCTTTGGACTAGCAGAGGAAAGCTGTTTGAAATGGGGAGAATTCCACTCACACGAAGTTTAGATGGAATTCAACCCACTGCAACTTCACTGCAATCAGTGCAATGTTCGGAGCCCCCATGGCACCCTCCTTAAAGGTTTTACAAAAAAGCTGATGCTTTGGCTCAAAGCTGTTTACAACTCCTTCATTTATGCTTTATAAAATGCAATTAGTTGAACATTTATACACTGTAAAACCTTCACAGGGTGGCGTGACAGTTATGTTTGTCGGTAAAATACCTAGAAATGTGCATATAAAATGTTCTCGGGGGGAGCAAGGTGTTTGTCAGGTGGATGTAAAGCCCCGTGCTTCCAAAATAGTCTGGCATAAAATATCTTCCCCAGCTCCTCTGACAGGACTGATGACTCTTGGCAGACTTAGGTGAAAAGACTGAAGAGTGGGCCAAGATTCATCACAGTTTGGTTCCAAACCAACATTGCACAAACTGGCAGTTCAGTGGGGCCGTTCTACTGCAACAAAAGACACTGACCCTAAGAAGACACTTGTGATATCCATGAATGGTTTGGATTATAAATAAAATAGACATTTTATTTGATAGGGCACAAGTGACTTAGTATCTCAGCTACTATACTCAAGTATAAATCGTGAAAAAATACAGGCAGCTCCCAGGTTACGAACAAGATCCATGGTAACTTTTATACAGTTTTAAATATAATGAATTAGTTATTTAAGGAGATAATTACTAGTTTCTAATGGGGAATGGGGTTGAATTCTAGGTCGTTGGTTCATCCATGCATCTGATTGGAGAGCACCAAGCCGAAGACGAGCGGCTCATCTGTGACTTAGTTGTGGCAAAAATGAATGAGACAATGACACGGTCTTCTCAGAGGCCAACGACAGCCCAGCCATCACAGGTACAACAGGACTCTTCTCAACTCCTAACATTTTAAATGTGACAAACTCACAATCTCACATCTCCTGTGAGTTTCACACCATCGCACAGATTCATAACAGTTACACTGTCTGCGAGGATTTCATAGGCTGTACCTAGACTAATATTTGTGCTCATTCTGGTGTTAACTGCTAAGTAAAGTAAGAATTCAATCCATCAGTCCTGTCTTTTGTAAATGGATGGGTCTTATTTAGTAGATCCAGAGGTGGATAGTTTAGGTGCAGAAAGTACAAATCCAGCAACCAGTTGAGTACTCTACTGGTTGGATGAAACAAAATCTTGGTCTGGATTTTTTTTCTGGCCCTGAACTGTCCACCTCTCAGTAGATCAACCTGGGTTGTGACTGCTGGTGTGTCTCTGTCTTTGTGTCTTTTAGAGAACAGCCCCAGATGAGGTTTTGGCCAACCCCAGTAAGATGGCAGCCCAGCGACCTTCACCCCAAGGTTGTTTACAGTACATTCTGGACTGTAATGGTGTTTCTGCTGGATCAAAACCGGTCATGGCACAGTGAAAGACGTATGGCGTTCCATGACCTATGAGCTCAGTACCCAGTTAGCGAGACAGAGTGGCGATGAAGGCAGAGGGGAAGATGAACTTGCCTTTGTTGTGTTTCAGTGGTTTCAGTGCCGGCCTGGACCGTCCCTGTCTTACGCAAGTCCAGCTGTGCTTCTGTATACCTTAAACAAGCTGATTTGTGTTGCTGCAATGGCTGCTTTGGTTTCAGTGCAGATCATGTGATATTCCTAAATTTCTTTCTTATGTTTTAAAAAAAAAATAAATGCTATGCTTCTAGTAATTCCATGCTAATTTCACCAGCAAGGCAAATACCTAATATTTACTTCTTCATTGTGATCGCCCACTAAGAATTACATTACTCATAGTGATTGTATATGTGCGCCTTTGAATATTTCTATATTTGTTTGAGCCTGTCTTTAAGTGTCAGAAATTAATATTTATCTCAAACAATAGTCACACAAATAGACAATGTTGGCTTTGTGTGCCTATGTTCTCCAAAATGCTTCTTGCCTAACAAGCATGTCAGACATCTATGCCTCATACATTTAAGTTGCTCGCTCATTTCTTTGATTTAGAAAACTTGCATTGTGCATTTAATGCTATTAATGTAGAATCTTCATAATCTAAGCACATGTACAGTAGGCTAACTCAGAAGCCTCTGTATTGATCACATCACAAATTTTCTCATAGAATATCATTTGAATTTTTCTCAGGAATCACCACACCAGTATGCAATTCAGAAAGTCTCAGTGAACAGTCAGCAACAGTCCATGCTTGGCTGAGTTAACTACTGTAAATGGGAAATCTCTTTAGAGAACCTCACTGTATATACAGCATACATAGACAGCACAGAATGAGTTAGATATGCCTGTTAAACATTTGTGTGCATATGCAATGTGATACTGTGAATGATTGCTTTCCAGAAACTCTTTGTTAAGTTTTGACTGATTTTAGTACTTGGTTAGAGATGGGCTCACATGAAACATCGCCCAAAACTCCTTCCTTCAGCATTGATATATACCCCCTCTGTGGATTGTATTAACTGAAAAGCTCTGTGGTTTTAGTGACTGTGCATTTGTGCTGCTTCTGCAAATACCCCCTGATATGTGTGTATGCACGCAATGCCTAAAGAGAGAAAGTGTGTGCTGTGATATTTCACATTCTCTGCTAAGTGTGAAAATGTCCTCTGGAATCATGGGAGGAATCCTTTTTTTGTTAGTATTGTGCAAATTGTGAATTATTGGATTCAAAACATGGGCTTTGTGCAACTGATAAGAGTTAATGTGCTATTTAAGGTGATAATAGAATAATATTCTCTTTTTTGGTATTTTTTGTCTGATTTCTCTCTCTTGGGCAATAAATGTTTTTTTTGTAAATTTTGTGTTGCCATGTGACTAATCCAAATGTTTTATGCATGGTTAATGCATTTCACTTATTAACATGCTGTTCTGAATCCCCTAAGTCTCGTTTTAGTAGCGGCCTTTGGTGTAACTGCAATACTGAGTGTTCTTTTCTTCAAAAAGAACAGGCTATTCAAAAGGTACAATCATTACCAACCAAGCTCATTACATCTAGCTGTGAAAAAAACTGTGCTTTATTGATAAGCCATTTGTGTCTATTTGTGTGAAAACCATACATACGAGTATGTGAAAACATTAACCCATCAAGCATATGTGCACATTCTTGCCTTGCTTTTCATGCTTGAGAGATGATGGTATATGATGTGAACCAGGCTATGTACTGTGTGCTAGCTGTCATCTGATTGTACTATATTTGTGCATGAACCCTTTTGCTCCGCCCAGTCAGTTATCTGATTCCTTGCCTGTTATCAGATGCATCACGCCCCCAACGTTTAACAGCAAGCACTCTAGCACTTACAGTGAAGCAGACCAACATAAAAAGAAGCACTGGATAGATAAATTCAAACTTTCGTGTAAAATGTAGTCTTGTTGTAAAGTATTTCTTGTACTGAACCCAGGGGTCCCAGTGAAACCCCAAGAATCCCATTCCCAAAGACAGCAGTCCTTCTCAGAGCTGACCCAAGCTTCATTCCAAGACAGTCAACACCCAAAGGGTAAGAAGCTATCTGAGGACCAATCAACCAGGGCTCAGACTCAAACACCAGCATCTCCCAAAAAGCTGAAGTCAAAACACTGGCTTCACCATCAGCTCCCTGCAAATGCTCAGGCCCAGCCTCATATCCAGCCCCAAACACAGCCCCCACCTTTGGAACAAGGCCAAGTTCTGCCCTGTAGTCCTTCACAAGCCCAGCAAACTGCGGAGGATCAGACTGCAGAAGTGAAGGTTCAGTCCCAACCACAGCTGAAGTAAGTGATCTTCCCTGGATTGAATGATTTTAAGTGTCACACTGAAGTACACATCAAAAACAGTGGTCAGAAATCTTTGCTCTCGCTTGATTGGTACAGAATGTGATCAAAGCACAAGCTTCCCATTCATTAATATATTCTGATTGACTCTTTCTCACACAAATAGTGAGAACGTTCCACTGAACTGACCTGTCCTCTTATTTTGCAGTAAATCCCAATCACTGACTAATGCCTTCAGTTTTGGCGGCTCATCTTTCTTTCGCACCAACAACGAGGACCAGGCCAAAGCGGAGACCATCCGCAATCTCCGTAAGTCTTTTGCTAGTCTGTTCTCCGACTAGCTTCAGAAAAACAATGAACATGAACATTAGAAAGTACTGTATCAAGTGGTATTCAAATTAACTAAATATACAAATTTCAACGTCTCGCCATGTCAGATATTCAATGTCCTTAAAAAAAACAACAGCCATGTATGAGGTGTTAAGTAGTACTGCCATTTGTTTATAGTTTGCTGGGGTCAAACAAAGGTGATTTAAAAACAAAATGCTAAATTTTGCAGAACATGTGTATTGAGTTATGCTTTGGATGTTGTCCTCTTATTACTTTTGAGTTTAACCTGCAAAACTTTCTATGAAGAGTTCTTTTCTTAATGTACTTTTTGTGTGGCTATCCAAGTATGCATGTTTGAGATCACTGCAAGCAGGTTGTTCTCGCAGATTAACTCAAATACTTAACAAGACCAAAAACTACTGTTCATGCTAATAAAACCATACTAGCTATACAAAAGCAGTGAAATGTCAAACTGTACTGTTATTAGACATTTAAGGCTTATGTGCAGAAATTGTATTGTTTTATGGATACAGTTTAAGTGTGCTGTATTCTTTCTCTTCATCAGTTCTTCCATTTGGATCTTGTTTAACCTGGGCATATTACAATTCTGTGTGACACTGTGAGTCTTGTTTAATTTAAAGATATCATTAAATTCTTCAAACAAAAATTGGCTGATTATTTGTGGATTTACAATTTTTGGACAGAATTATGTGCCCACTCTTCTACTCTCCCACCCAGCTCTTTAGACTAATGAATACTGAATAACAGAGAAAAGCTCATTACAAGCGCGGTGAGGACTTCAGCTGACATATTTTAACTGAAGGCCACTGTCGCCATCATCTGGCCTAGTGCATACACACAACTGCAGGGATCTTTACATCCTGCTGCTACATTTCTGCTGTCCACGGCAGTTGTTGTTCCATTTCTGAAAATTCCATTAGTATTGTTTAATGAATTGAAAAGGAAAAAAACTAACATTTATACATCTTACCAATATAAATTGGGAGTCATCAGCAACTGCACTCCTTAAAATAAATAGCTACAGCTGCATAATTTTATCGCTATTCATAAAACATGTATGATTTGTGTTTTGCATAAAAACTAAAGTTAAAGCAATTGCAAAATCCTCCAAAATTAGTTGTTTTAAAAGTCTAATTATTTAATCTAAAGCCAAGCATAACTCCCATGGAAATATTTATATATTTTTGCCTGTTTTGTAGCAGACACTGAGTTACTGTTTCTGGATACTCATTGGAGCAGCATGGTTTAAAAATCAGTTTCCTTGACCATCCAGTTACATTTAGGGGTTTCAGTACATGCTGCCCTCTTCTGTCAGCCCCAATAGGAACTTATCCTGAAGTCTAGGTAAGAGGCAGATCAATGAGATTTAAGTGTATGTTACAGTAGATGTTGACAGCAGGTGGCACTGTGGTTGAAGACTATGGAGAGCAAGGAACTGAAGAATGTTATGTATGTGTATATATATGTGTACACTGATACACACACACACACACACATCATTGTTCACAGCATAGCAAAAATTACATTTGTAATATAAAATTTAGCAGGTAAATATTAAAGACATGCTGGTATAACATTAAAAATGAAAATTAATTGCTATCTGCAGGTGTACCTCATGCAAACTGTTTTGGTTTCCAAGCCCGCACCGATTACAGTGTATTAGTGCACTTCTGCACAAATAATTTTACTCTAGCTTTCACAATGAATGACTACAACCTCGACTATATAATAAACTCTTTAATAATTCACCTCATTATTGGTGTAACATGCTAAAAACATGAAGTATTGTTTTATTTTTAAGTTCTGCCACATTAAGACAGAACCAGACATTGTTAAAAACCTTCCAATAAGTGCCGCTACTTTTGCAGAAATGTGCGAGGGATCTGCAGGTGACTCGCCCCGGAGGTCAGAGGACATTCTGTACAATGCGATGCCGCTTCTCAAATGGGGACCTCGAACCAAGACTCACTCAAATATCACCCCTAACAACACAAGTGCACCGCCAGCTAAGTTTTGTAGGCTGTAAATTCACAATAAGTGCTTGGAAGATGGGAAGATGGAAGAAAAACGTGGGATCGAATAGCTTATTACTGATGTCGTTAAATGATACCAGTTCAGAAGAAACATTAGCTTTACTTAATTTCAATGACTCTGACAGAAATACAGATAAAGGTCTGCATGGTCAGCTGTACAGGTAGCAGTTATGCAAAACACGTTGGCTTACAACTGCCTGAACTGTTTTCCCTAAGGAAAATAACACCCTAGAGCCACTAGAGGGCACTAAACCCAGTTTAGTGTCTCGGCTGTGACAACACATAGATTTAGCATAATATGTGCATAAACAGGCCATCGTGAAAGTCTCTGTATGGCAAGAACCAGCTGGATGAGGAGCCAAACTCAGAGCCATCCTTTTCTCTTTTATACACTAAATTGCCTAAACGAAGAAAAACATACAGGATAAAAGGCAGATCCAGGGCCTGTGCGTGTGCACTGGGGGGGGGGGGTTAGACTTGCTACCCACTCCCCAGCCAGAGCACTCATGGTCGGCCGTGCAGCTAAGCAGAAACAGAAGTCAGAAATAGACGCCTGAAACAAAAATAGAAGCACAAAGGTCAGTCACCCGCTTTAGGCTGGACTCAGCTGGTTTAAGTGGGATTTTTTTTCTCTCTAAAACTCAGCACTGTCCTTCAAGCCTTAATAATGGGGTTACTGTAGGACAATGCATTGCAAAGGCAATCTGTGCATTGTGGAAGTGCACTGGCATGTTGTTCAGTTTGCTGGCACTGTCGCCAAACCATGACATTCATACAATACCCTCCTCATTTCAAAAAGCCATTTTCAAATTATTCTGCACAATGAAGTAAATTACCTACTGTAGAACTTAAGAGTTTTGCACTAGACGTCACCCTCCGCCACCTCACACGGCTACTCTGATTGACCTTAGCCCTGATGATTTTTTTCTTCATGTGATCCTCTGACATGTCCCTGACTGGAAACCAGTGCTTGGCCACTTAAACTCCACAGCACTATACAGTGGCAAACATTGCACTCACCTCCAAAGTCTTTGCAGCTTCCATGATATCCTTGCACGGCAAACTCTTACAAAACTGCTACGAAAGATTCCATATAAGGCTGCAGTACTTTGATTGGATGCAGCTTGATTATTATTATTATTGTGATTATTATACAAAAACAGCTACCAACCAATTCTCATGAAAGCTGACAACGGGAAGTGATGTAATTTTTTTTAAAAAAATGCTCCAAATACCCAAAATGCATTTGGTTTACAAAGCCCTTGTGTACACGCCTACCACTCTGGTGCACATGCCTAAACACGGAGTGGATGAGGAACTCCACTACTACAATTTTCACCATTTTCCCTCCAATATGCACATACAATAGGGTACAATATGACCACAGCCATGTCATGGCATTCATGGTATAAATGGCATACATGGTATAAAGGGCATACACGGTATAAATGGCATACACGGTATACATAGCAGTGGTTTTGAAACATTTTAACTGGGCTTTTGTTTGTTTAGCTTAGCACTTTTCTATCAAACGGAATTGCGCCATAAAACTCACTAAATCACCAGCCCTGTCCACTAAGTGAAATTAAATTTGGTAACAGATAATACATTTAACTTAATTTTATTAAAATACAATGGATAAACAAAAATCTTCACCTAGTTTAAAATAAAACTTAATTTCTGAAAAGAACAATAACAGAAAAAAAAAATATATATATAAAAAAATAAATGCAAAAGAGAACAGTCACAATTTCATGCTGACGTGTCTCCCACAGGGCCACAACCATCAACAGACAGCTGGGTAATCGCTAGAGCCCCCCAAAACAAAAACCAAAATATAAACCAGTGCTGAGGGGGGAGGAAATCAAACTACAGCTCTGGAGGTATTTACAGTGCGAGTGCTGCTACCTGCACTGCCAGTGCCACAGAACACCTCTGCTCATGGGAACCATCTGGAGGTATTTACAGTGCGAGTGCTGCTACCTGCACTGCCAGTGCCGCAGAACACCTCTGCTCATGGGAACCATCTGGAGGTATTTACAGTGCGAGTGCTGCTACCTGCACTGCCAGTGCCACAGAACACCTCTGCTCATGGGAACCATCTGGAGGTATTTACAGTGCGAGTG